GAATACTCAATGTCCCCCCCTCCCCCCGCCACCATCCTCCAGAGAGGGGAGAGGGGCTGGAAACGGAGTTAATAATTGATCATGCCTGTGTGAGAAGCCTCTATAAAATCCCAATAGGATGGGTTTTGGGGAGTTTCCAGGCTGGGGAAAGGCATCCACGCACCCCGGCTCCGCAGGGACAGACGCCCCTGTGCTCAGGACCCTCCCACATCTCTCTTTATGTATCTCTTCACCTGGCTGTTCATCTGTGTCCTTTATCATATCCTTTAATAAACAGGTAAACCTATATGTTTCCCTGAGTTCTGTGAGCCATCCGTTCTAGCCAACTAATGGAACTTGAGAAGGGGGTCACTGGAACTTCTGACCGATGACCCATTGGTCAGAAGCACAGGTGACAATGTGGCCTTGAGAATGGCATCTGAAGGGGGGGCAGTTTCATGGGGCCGGGCCCTTACCTGTGGGATCCGACGCCACCTCCAAGTAGAGAGTATCAGGATTGAGTTAAATTGTAGGACACCCAGCTGATGTTGTAGAGAATTGCTTATCGTTATGGGGAACTCCAACCATTTGCTGACCAGAAGAGTCAGAAGTCAAGTGTTTTGTGTGAGGAGTAAAGGAGACACACAGGATAGAAAACACAATGCAGAAGAACTGGTTTTTTCCCCCATACACGAAGGAAAAGCTGAGATTTTTCCTTTACACACATGAAAAAGAATGAAGTTGGACCTCAACCTCATACCATATCCAAAAATTAACTCAAAATGGATCAAAGACGTAAATGTAAGAACTAAAACTACAAATACTTAGAAAAAAACATAGGTATAAATCTTTGTGACCTTGGATTTGGCAATGATCTCTTAGTTATGACACCCAAAGTACAAATAACTAAAGAAATAAATAGATAAATTGCACTTCACCAACATTAGCAAGCATACCATCAAGCAAGTAAAAAGACAACACACTGAATCGGAAATTCCAAATCATACATCTGGTACAGGACTTTATCTAGAATACATAAAGGACATTTACAACTCAATGAGAAAAAGCAAATAACCCAGATTTTAAAATGGCAAAGGATCTGAATAGACATTTCTCCAAAGAAGGTTTGCAGATGGCCGCTAATCTGGTAAAAAAAAAAAAAGATGTTCAATATCACCAGTCATCAGGGAAATGCAAATCCAAAGCACAACGAAGCACTACTTCTCACTGACTAGGATGGCTAGCATTATAAAGATGAACCATAGGAAGTGCTGGCAAAGGTGTAGAGAAATCAGAACTGTCATTCCCTGCTGATGAGAGCGCAAAATGATGTAGCCACTTTGGAAGACAGTCTGGCGGTTCCTCAAAAGGTTAATTAAACATGGAGTCATCATATGACCCAGCAATTCCACCCCTAGGTGTACACCCAAAAGAAAATAAACTATAAGTCCACACAAAAATGGGTACACAAGTGTTCAGAGCAGCATTATTCCTAATAGGCACAAAGTTGAAATAATCTAGTTTTCATCAATCGACGAATGGATATGGGGTCTAATGGAATACTGTTCGTCCACGAAAAAGAAACGTGAAAGCATCATGCTAAATAAAAGAAACCAGTCGTGAGGAACCACATATTCTAGGCTTCCATGGTATAAAATGTTCAGAAGAGGTAAGTCTATTGAGACAGAAGGTAGGTTAGTGACTGCCTTGGGTGGGGTGGGAGGCATGGAGGGATTCGGAGGTGCTGTCTAAAAGGTACAAGGTTTCTTTGTGGAGAGGATGAAAAATGTTCTAAAACCAAGGTAATAGTTAGCTACATGCCTTTGTGAAAACACAGAAACTCACTGAATTTTAGACCTTAAGTGGATGAATCGTATGGCGCGTGAATTAAATCTCGATAATCAAGCTGTTACCAAGAAAAAGAATATTACAGTCAACCCCAATGGACTCATCAACTGTATTCAACATTTCAAATCCCCCTACAGTTAGGCCCCAATTTCCAAGTTTGATTTTTTTTCTTAGATGGCCAAAATTGGCATACGTGCTAAAAAAGGTATTGCTCAGTGGATTTATTAGGTATTTAAAGGTTTTTAGGAAAATCAGCTGTATTAAATTTGTTAATATGTTTTGAAATATCTAAAGCAGTAGTTCCCAAGCTTTGGGTGTGTGTGTGGGTGCGTTGTGGGGGTGGGGGTTAAAATTCCAATCCCCAGGTAGCCCGGCACACCAATTAAATTAGTAGCTGACGGTAAAAGCAGGGCATCAATGGGTTTAATGATTTTCTAGGCGATTCAAGTGTTTTGTAAATTTCGTGAAATTTAATTTAACTATGTAAATTGTGAAAGATGTTTCAGCAGGTTCTAATTTATTAAACTTGGGATTTAATTATTTCTACTGTGGGGATAAAATGGAAGTTTTACACAAAACTGTATTTTTAAGTTCAATAACAAGATCGGCAAGCTGAACCTCAGATAAACACTTTGAAAATGTATCGCTAATTCTTAAATTACTATTTAAATATCGAGTATCAGGAATTAAGCTGTTCGGGTCGGACCACTGTCAAGCATTCTTCCCCCCCGTCAGCAACGTCCCCTTAGGCCTGGAGACCCGCAGGGACAGCTGGGTCACTGAGTGTTTCACGAGCCCGTGCTCAGGCTGCCGCAGAGTTCAAGTTCGGCAGGCGCGTGTCTTTTCGGCCACCGCCCGGAAAGGGATGGCACTGGCCAGGAAGTTTTGCTGGACTCCCCGCAGCCCGGGCAGCGACTCCGGGGTGACCTGCTGGCCATGCCCACGTCGCCGCGGCTCGGAGGCGGGTGAAGCTCCGGGACGCGCGGCGCGAGCCGGGGAGACGCGCGGTCGCAGCGCCGAGATGGACCCGGGAGCGCGGCGCGCGCTGCTCGCGCTGCTCCTGCTGCGGACCGTGGCCGCGCTCGGGCGGCCGCCGCGTGAGTCCGGGCCTCCGGGGGGCGAGACCGAAACCAGCTTCGCGAGCCCCTGGGGTGGCCGGGGGCGGGGGGGGGACACGGCTCGGCCCCGAGCGCAGCCTGTCCCCGACTCGCCCGGGAGGGGCTCCGCCGCCGCGTGCGGGCGGGTTTGCGGGTCCCCCGCCCCCGCCGCAGCTCCCCAGGGTGGCGCTCGGAGCCCCCCGCCCCCTCCGCCGACTGGGGCGCTTTTAACTGCTTTTAACTCCAAATCCGTGCGTTTCTCATCCGGGCTGAGCTAGGGTCCCCGGGCCCTCGGACTCCGAGCTGGGTGCCCTCGTTGTGCTTTGGGCCATGTCGTGTTTTCTCCTGTCGTCCCCAAACAGGAAGTTCTTCTCCCCAAAGACGGCGTGGGCCCGGCCGGGGTGTTGGTTGAGGCTCAGGGCTGGCGGAGGGCAGCAGGCCTCGGCTGAGCGGGGTCCCTCCCCGCCTCCCGCCCCCGGTCTCGCCGGCACGTGGGGGGCGCTGCTGGAGCGAGCGGGGGGCTGGGCTTCCCGCGCCCCTCCTCCCACCCCTTCCCACTCGGGGTCAGGGGAGGCTCCCGAGACTGCTCTGACCCCGGCCTTACTGGCTCTTGGCGGCCGGTTATTCTTTTGCCTGGAAAAACTGTAGTTTTTCATCATAACGGTGATTTCTGGACTTTTGAACTGAACGGAAGAGTTCTCGTTTTCAGCCGGGTGGGGGGGGGGTTGATTTGCAACGTTAATCGTACTGTACATAACTAACGGGTTTTTACTAAAGGATGCCAACGTGATGACTAACATTTAACTCAGTTTTAAATCACCTTCGTCTCTGTGATCTGGTTTGACTCCACCCAGCATTGGGAGGTAGGAACCAGTCATAGGGCGATTTTACTAGTGTTAACTGGCCCTCGGGTTATCCTTCCCCAGGTTAGAAAGAACGTGGGATCTGGTTCTCTGATGAAAAATGAAGTACCACCACTGTTCCTAATCTCAGGTGACCGTGACTCTTTGCACACCTTCTACACGGTCTGAGAACAACGCTTGGAGGGAAGGTCGTATGTGTATCCACGTTACAAAGATGACAAGAATGAGGCATGACCTGCTCATGGGTAATTTTGTTCCACGTTACCCTGGGCTTTTGAGGCAGAACCAGCGCCTCCATAGCTGTGATTCTTAAATGTCACACCACAGTAGAGGTTGAATCCTCAATTTGATGTGGAACAGAGATATTCGTTGTTCACGCGTAGAAAGGGAGTAACAGAGCGTGAGCTGCACTGTTCTGGACCCCAGGGAGGTAGCAGGGAGCCAAGTCCTTGCCCTCTGGCATTTTGCGTTCTCTTGGGGAGATGACAATAAACTAACAAGAGGACCCAGCGCCCCAGGTCGCGGCAGGAGCTGTGGAGACCGGTGAGGTGGGGAGGCCGGGGGCAGGCTCCTCTCAGGCTGGCGGTGGAGCCGAGAGCTGAAGGAAACAGGGCTGGTGCCGGCTGAAAGCTTCCCAGACGAGCTGAGTGGACCCCACAGGTGGAGTGGAAGCAGGGACTGCACCCTCGGGGAAACTGACCCCTGTCTGTGGTGAGGACCGTTGTGTGCATCGTAGGATGTGCTTTACTCACGGGGTGTTAGTAGCAATCCCCCGGTTATGACGGTCACAAGTGTCTCCAGACGTTGCCAAGCGTCTGCTGGGAGACACAGCTCCCCAGTTAGGAGCGTCTGGGGTACAGCAGGAGCATAGGGACCAGAGGCCGGGACTCGTCAGGGGCTCAGCCACAGGCCACAGGCCAGGCCTCCTAGGACCTCACGGGCTGCCGTGTGGGTTCCAGCCGAGGACGGACCTGATCTGGCACAGCTTTCGGAAGGGTTGCTCTCACTGGTCTGCAGGAGGCAGGGGTGAAGGAAGTCGCAGTCAGAGCTGGGAGCAGCCGGGAAACTGTTGCTGGGTGCCAGCCGGACGCGGCGGCCGGGCCTGGGGGCGGGCAGACGAGGAGAAGAGCAGCATCCTGGATGTATTCAAGAGGAAGTTGCCGAAGGACCCCGGTGCCATGTGAGAGACAGAGAAAAGTCAAAGGCGACTCTGTTCTTTAAAAATTATTTTATTATTTTAAACGTTTTATTGGCCTGAGCAATGGGGTGATAGGTGATGCCATTTCTGAGATGGGGAAGGCAGAAGAAAGAGCAGCTTGGGGGAAATCAAGAGTTAGACTTAAGTTTGATTTTTCCAATTCCTCATCCAACTGGTGGTGTCCTGTCGGCAGTTGGGCGTAAGAATCTGGAGTTCAGGGCCAGAGATGAAAACCAAGGAGTCGTCATCGATCCATCTAACAAGCATGTACTGAGCCCCTAGTACATGCCAGGAGCTGTTCTAGGCCTTGGGCGTTCATCAGCGGAAGGAAGGGAAACTCTCACTTGCTCTTACCGGAGCTTCTTCCGTGTTTGCTCTGAAAGTGTCTTAGTTATGGATCAACAGATCTGCCAGCATTTCACGACAAACATTTACACAGGAAAGGGTTTAGAGACGGGAGTCGTGGAAAAAACCCAACAGTGAATTCCTCAGCACTTGGATCCAATTCGCCCTGAGCATCAACCCCTGAGCTCGGCTGCCCCAGCGAGAGACCCTTGGGATCTGAGAGTTTGTGGGCTGCAGGGGAGATTGCCCTAAATGTGGGAAGTGGGGCAGAGGCTGGGAGCTCCGAGGGGGGTGGTGGCAGCCCCCCGGGGGGGCGAGAGCACCCAGGCCTGTGGCGGAGGGCGGAGAGGCCCTGCAGCGCACGTGCAGTGGGGTGGGCCCAGACACAGCTGGTGCTGTGAGTTTGATCCAGCAGGGCTGTGGCCCGTCCGCCCCCCCACCCCACTTGCAGCTCACAGAGCTGTCCTCTTGCCTTCTCCCCAGGGTCCCATTCCCTGCGCTACCTCTTCATGGGCGCCTCGGTGCCGGACCTTGGGCTGCCCCTGTTTGAGGCCTTGGGCTACGTGGACGACCAGCTATTCGTGTCCTACAGTCACGAGAGTCGCCGTGCAGAGCCCCGCGCCCAGTGGGTCCAGGGCAGGGCCGCCAGCCCGCTGTGGCTGCAGCTGAGTCAGAGCCTGAAAGGGTGGGATCACATGTTCATCGTCGACTTCTGGACCATCATGGACAATCACAACCATAGCAAGGGTACGTGGAGAGGGCGCTCTCCTTTCCGAGGTGGGCAGAGCGCATTCCTGTAGCTCGAAGATGGCTCTGGGTGAGCAAGCAGGGAGTCTGAGGTCCTGGGGGAGGAGGGCAGGAGTCTGAGGTCCTGGGGTCCCTGGGGATGGATGCTGAGACAGGGACTTACTCCTTTGGTTTCAGTAACGAAGCTCGGGGTGTTGTCAGAGTCCCACACCCTGCAAGTGATCCTGGGTTGCGAGGTGCAAGAGGACAACAGCACCAGGGGATTCTGGAAGTACGGGTACGACGGGCAGAACCATCTGGAATTCTGCCCTGAGACGCTGGACTGGAGAGCAGCAGAGCCCAAGGCCCAGGCCACCAAGCTGGAGTGGGAAGTGAACAAGATTCGAGCCAAACAGAACAGGGCCTACCTCGAGAGGGACTGCCCAGAGCAGCTGCAGCGCTTGCTGGAGCTGGGGAGAGGGGCCCTGGACCGGCAAGGTATGGTGGGAGCGCTCCGTCTGCCCGCAGACTCTCCCGATGCGGCAGCGTCCGCAGGTGCCGGGCGAGGTCCGGGCTGCACTTTCCCAGGGGGCCAGGGTCACGTGACTCTCGGGGAAGGCGCTGAGGTCTGAGGTCTCCACCTTATAACTGAGATGTAGGACCCAGCCCAGGGGCATGGTTTTAGGGTGTTTTTTTTTTTTCTCCCTACATGTGGCCAAAGACGTATCTGCAATCTTTTGATTTAACTGAGAACCCGGTGTATATTTATACCTTTTAGGAATTTCAGAGATGTCAATTATCACATGAATGCCAAGCCAAGCAATTACCAAAGGAGGCAACCAGGCAGAGTAGCAGAATCGTTTGGAGGTTAAAGGTTACTTTCACAGAACAGAGAGAGAGTCCCTGAGGGCTTCCAATCTTCCAGGGCCCCTTCTTACAAGAATCCTTACTGGGCTGAGCCAGGTAGAATGAACCAATAGGGCTTAGTCAATCAAATCCACATACAGGGGAATTTCGTCCGATTCCATTTACTGTATTGACAAAGGACAGAAGCCACGAGATGCAGGTATGCATATTTATATACGGGACAGGAGCATGGGCTTGACTATCTACCATGCAGCACCCCATCGCAGCTGAGTCCTGCGACATGGTTTAGGACACAGTATGGTGACTGACGCAGCAGCATCGGCCTAGGGTTGGCTTCTTCCTCCAGCCCGTAGAGAAAGGGAAGTGAAAGTTCCAGTCTTCTTGGCAAGGGTAGAAAGCTCCCCTCTACAGATCCTTCCTCCTTCCTGTCCAGTGCCTCCTTTGGTGAAGGTGACCCATCACGTGGCCTCGGCGGTGAGCACCCTACAGTGTCAGGCTCTGAACTTCTACCCCCGGAACATCACCATGAAGTGGCTGAAGGACAGGCAGCCCCTGGATGCCAAGGACGTTGAGCTGAAAGACGTGCTGCCCAACGGGGATGGGACCTACCAGGGCTGGGTGGCACTGGCCGTGCCCCCTGGGGAAGAGCGGAGATACACCTGCCAGGTGGAGCACCCAGGCCTGGATCAGCCCCTCACTGCCTCCTGGGGTACGGATGGGAGCTGGGGAGGGGGGTGGGAAAAGTCCGTTGTGGGCGGAACCAGAGGGGTCAGCATGGCAGTGAGGGGAGGGTCTGAGCCGGGCTGGGGTCACAGTCCCAGCTTTCACTTGCTTTTGCTGTTTTAGAACCCCCAGTGCCTGGCACCCTGCTCACTGGAGTCATCGGTGGGATCGCTGTCTGCGTCATCCTCTTTTTTATTGGAATTCTGTTCAGAATCTTAAGGAAAAGGCAGGCTTCGAGTGAGTAGGAAGAAGGAGGAAGTCTCTCAGTTCCTCTGACCCCAGGACACACTAATGCATCAGGAAGCAGGAAGCGGGCTGAGGGAGGGCGAAGGGGATTTGGTGTCCATCCGAAAGAAGCCTGTTCCTCTTTTTCTCTTTGGGGACACAGCTTCCGCCCCGGGAGCAGGAATGAATTGTTTTCCTAGAATGAAAGCTCCAAATTCAACAAACTTCTTTTGAGCACCTACTGTTTTGCGAGATGCTCCCTAAAGTAGTACATGGGCTTTGCAGTTGGGTTCATCGCTGTTGCTATTCTCAGAACCCACATCTAGAAGGGAATGAAATCTGTAGCACAAGCAAACACAGTTAAAGGAGAGCCCTTAAGGTCCTAAGACAGACCATTCTCTGGGTGTCAAAAGAAGGAATGGCCATGACCTGCTGAAGATTGACCAAGGATTCTGGGCCTTGAGGTAGATGGCTTTAGGAAAGGTTGAGGACAAGGGGGGTCTACCCAGATGGGGCAGCCGTGCACATGGCAGAGCATGAGGCATAGTGGGAGGTGAGAAATGATTGTGTCTCCGCCTGTCCATCACCAGGGTGCACGCCTGCCTCCTGAGCATCGGGGGAGGGGGGCAGATGGAAGCCAGCCAGGCGGAGCTCTGGGGGCCTCAAGGATGCTAGCCAGGGAGCCCTGGGAAGTCAGTGCAGGGACAGTATGGGGGACACGGTCTGGGCAGTTGGAGAATGAGTGTCAGGAGGTGAGATGGGAGGCAAGGAGCCAGCTAGAGAGCTGGTAAGCAACTCCAGGTGAGAGATGATGGTGCTCGGGGAAGGGGGTGGTCCCAGTTGAGGTGAATGGATGTGGGAGGTGAGGACCAGGGACTAGGCAGCAGGGTGCTCGGGTCCGCGATGCCCCTTTTCTGTCTCTTGTCTCTGCAGGAGGAGCCTTGGGGGACTACGTCTTGGCTGAATGTACGTGACAGTCTGCAGACCCCTCGTGGGGAGGAGACGTGGAGACTCAAAGAGAGGGGGTACCCCTGTGGCCTTCTTCATGTTCCAGGGCAGAATTGGACTGAACGAACAGGCACTGCCCCAGGAACTCTCTGCTTGTGGCCTGCCATGTTCATTTTTGAGAAGTTTCTCCCATTTTGGTTTTTGAGTTCCTGCATGCCTATGAGCCCCAGCGCCGGCCTCTGGGCAGAACCAGCTGCCTTGAATCTCAAGCTGCCTCTAGGGCCTGCCTTCAATTCTGCATCACTTCCCACTCCGTATGTCCATGTCATCTCATCTCCTACCTCTGGAATAACGCTCCTGAAATTTGGGAGACTCACGGTTCCTTTCAACATCTGAGAAAAACGATGAACTTTCTCCCCGGGACATAACACTCTCAGGCCCTTACCAGAATTTTGCACACACATCCAGGCATTTCCTAGGCCCATCCAATTGCCTTTTGATCCTCTCTCTCTCTGTTACCCAGTAATTCACCTGTCACCAAGCCCTGTGGTCTCTTCCACCAGAGGGTGAAGTGGGTCATTGTACAGCGGTGAAGGCCGTGCACTGTACAACCCATGGAGGGACCCTCGGAAGAGCCACTGTGGATGCCTGTGTTTATTCATGATAGTTTTCCAGAAAGTGGGCAGGAAACGTCTTGGGGAGGGGTATGTTTTTCTAACTGGCAGCAAGGTGTCACATAGGTTTCCCCAGAGTCACGATTTACATGAATGCGTTCACAGTGCCTCTCTGGCATGCCAGGCTTGAAGTAACGCAGTCATTTCCTACTTGGATTCTGCTAATGAAATGATAAGGAAAGTGATCCTAAGGATGATGATGGTGATGATAAGGTGGCTGACACTTACAAAAAAAAGCACTTGCTGCCAGACTGAGTTCTGAGCACCTGCTTACATTATGATTCTTACCGTAATTCTCTGATATAAGAACTATTATCCTCATGGGTTTTTTAGGTGAACAAAATGAAGTAGGGAGTATCTCACAGCCTTCCAGGGCTAGAGAGGTTTCAGCTCAGTCAGTCTGACTCTGATCCATCTCACATGCCGTGGCATTAGATGCTTTAGATGTGCCAGGAAATGGGGGGGGTGGCACGGCTCTTCTGTGGCCCCAGTGTCTTCATTCTCAGCGAGCTTGACCAAAGCGAAGGGAAAACAGCAGAAAATAACCTCAGCCATTTCCTTTCGAAGTCTCTGCGGAAAGAAATCCAGCGTGTGGCCGGCTTACTCTGCTGCCACCCCAGTCGGCTCTGTCTGGCGCGTCTCTCGGGCCCTGGGTCCGGACGGGGATCGGCGGTGTCCCTCAGTGGATGTGTTGGACCCCACAGTGTTTTTGTTCTACCCGCGCCTCCAGAGTCAGAAGCCGGGTGGCATTTCCCTCCAGGAACCGGAGCGACTGTCTGTCGTATTAAAGATGGTAAAACAGATGCCACTAAGTGGCCTGGGGGTACCCTGGCGTGTTCCCGGGGCTCCTGGGAGTCTGGTTCTCTTCCCCAACTGTGCACATTAAGAAAAGAAACTCATCAGGAATTACTCCATTCTGGGCAAGTAATTCATCGGACCATGTTCAAAAGAATACTAACACAGACACCCGGATGGCCGGTGTTTCCTTTCTGTTGCTATGTATGTTTGGCCACTTTACTGGCCACAAGGCATTCTGTCTCCCATGGCAGGTGCCTCAGAAGACCAAATAAAGCTCTATGGTTTGTTTGGTAGTTATTGCATTTGGGCAAAGAGATCTCGACAATTTTTTTTTAACTTTTTTTTCTGGTTACGAAAGTTAGGTGGATAAAAGTACATGTAATTTGTGCTTATTGTCAAAAAGTTGAAAATGAGTTTGAATTGAATGAATTGAATTGAATGAATTGAAACTATCATTCCATTAGCTAGTGATAAACCCTATGAATGATCTGTGTATTTCCTCTCAGTATTGCTATATTAAAATATATAAAATCAACAAATACACTTAAATAAGCATACAATTAATTGTGTTGTATACTGTATGATTTTTTTTTTTTTAGGGGGCCAAGGGGTAGAGGGAGAGAGAGAGAACCTTAAGCAGGCTCCACGCCCAGTGCAGAGCCCAGCGTGGGCCTCAATCTCAGTCACAACTTCAGCCAAAATTCAGAGTCAGATGCTTAACTGACTGAGCCACCCAGGCACCACGGTATGATTCTTCTTAGGTACTTATCAATGTTATGGATTAATCAACTTAATCATTGGGTCATTTGTGGGACATTGATATGCTTCTGATTTTTTTACATTTTGTTTTATGGAATATCTTCATTAAACTCTGGTAGCTGAATTAGTTGTTTTTCCTCACTCTAGAAACATTATCATCTAAGCTGTTATGTGTTGGTTATTTTACTTCCAAACCATATTGAAAGCACACCGACAGATTCTCTCTGGATATTATTCTGTACTCAGAACATACTGCCCAAAAGGTTCCCTTGCTCTTCCAGCTCATTAAGGATACAACTAATTAGGGAATGATGTGTGTTATATTGGTTTTCTTTCACACAGACTGAGATTTCAAGAAACACCTGTCTTCACAGTGGGACTTTCACTAACCATTGGCGACTGTGGCCTCTTACTTTTCTTTTTATATATATATTTTTAAATATTTTATTTATTTATTTGAGAGAGAGAGAGTGAGAGAGAGAGAGTATATGCCAGGGGGAGAAGCAGAGGGAGAGGGAGAAGTAGAGGGAGAGGGAGAAACAGAGGGAGAGGGAGAAGCAGGCTCTCCACTGACCAGGAAGCCTGGCGCAGGGCTCGATGGATCCCAGGACCCTGGGATCATGACCTGAGCGCAAGGCAGACCCTTAACCTACTGAGCCACCCATTCTTTTTATAATGGAAGTAATAAACCTCTATTTTCTTTCAGTGTTTCTTAGCTTAATTTTTCTTCCCTTGTTCATCAATACTTAAGATCAACTACATTTGAAAAATCAAAGACCTACATTTTAAATTCTGGATCCTATTTGGCCTCTGGCAAAACCACCCACTAACAAAGCGCAGTCGTGTGGAGAAGGGTGCCACCTGGTGGCTACGGTCGGAAGTGTCACAGTGGTCATGTGACTGTCTAGCCCGGGGGCGGGGAGGTTCCTGCAGGGCTAGGGAGAGAGAAGAGGTGGGCGCTGGAGATTTTTGTGGAGAAAAGCCCCTGAGAACTTGAGGAAATAAGAAACGAGTCACCAGCTGGTTTGATCACAGGGCACTGTTGACCTGCCTGAACAGAGAACGGAACAGAGGAAGACCTTTGGAAATCCCTGTAGTTCAGGTGCAGCCGTTGGTTAAGACCCGCTGGGAGGTGGAGGCAGACTTTCTTGCTGTGTCTGAGTAATATGGTCTTACAGGGCTGAGTGGGCTTGATGCACTACGAAACATTCTTCATGTCCACACACATACGCCTTCGAAAACATAACGCCTTCTCTAAAATGCTGGAAAATTCTTATAAGCTACCATTTTTATTTTTATTTATTTATTTATTTTAATGTTTTATTTATTTATTCATGAAAGTCAGAGAGAGAGAGAGAGAGAGAGGCAGAGGCAGAGGGAGAAGCAGGCTCCCCGCCTAGCAGGGAGCCCGATGCGGGACTCGATCCCAGGACCCTGGGATCGCGACCTGAGCCGAAGGCAGACGCTTAACCATCTGAGCCACCCAGGCGCCCCTAAGCTACCATTTTTAAACTATAATTTTTTTTCTAATCGCACTCCAATCTAATAATGACTAGAACTCAAGAATGCATGACTTTAAACATTGAAGATTTTCACATCGATGGACGGGTATTTGGGGGTTTGATTTCTTTCTGTAGACTTTGGGTCATCTTTTTTTCGTTTCTCTTTTGGAATCTGTGAAAAGGTAGAATGTCAACTCATTATTAATGATCTTGTGTGACGATTTCATTACAAAGCCTGGGTTGACTTGACATCCCGCACGCATGCCTTCCATTGCATGACTATTTTCTAAAACTATTTTTTTTCAACTAACAATGATTATGTACTTACTAGATGCCAAGCCTTGTTCGGGATATTGTTTCTGAAGATTCCGGTGAAGTAGGAACCATGGTTATTTCATTACCCTTATTTTGTTGTATGGAAACCAAAGCACAGAGAGGTTACATAACTTGCTGAAGGTTACACAGCTAGAAAATTATTGTGCTCGATTTTTATTCTACCTCGTCTGGCTCGGAGTCAAGCTCATAACCGCTATAAAAAACCTGTTTCTGTGTCAAGAAAACATGTAGTGTGGCATTGTTATTATCTCTTTGGGATGCTCCTGGTGGCAACGCCTCTGATGTTTGCTGCAGTGAGGAGGGAATCTGTTTTAACATTTCAGAATTTGCCTTATCTCTATAACTTTTTCATAAATATTTGGAAACATTATCTTTGTGTGTATTTTTTTTTAATTTAAGGATTTTTTTCTGTTAATAAACAAATTTCTAATGAATAAATTTACATTTCTATTTATTCTCTTTCTCATTAAGGGAGAAATTTAGGTATGAGTAACCTTGAAACACCTGTGAATCATTTTATTCACCAGATTGGGGTAGAAACTGTTGTTGCTGTTTGTTTGTGGTTTTTGTTTTTTTTTTTACGTATTGTTATTTTTTACATATAAGATTCTAGCTTTTGATCCAAAGAGTCTAAAAAAGAGTTTTGGAGTCTTCTGTGTACTTGGGGTGGGACAGGGTGGGGGTGGGGCAGGTAAGTACCAGTATCTGTGTAAACCCCAGGGTTAAGTCTCAGTTAACCTTACTCTAGGGTTGATTAAATGCCCTGAATTTTATTTCTTAAACAGTTACCACAATGGCATTGTCATAAAACAGGGAATAACCAACTTCGATACTGCCAAAACATCGTGACAATGTGTGCAAAGAGAGCATCTGTTTGTTTTTTTTTTTAAAGATTTTATTTATTTATTTGAGAGAGAGAGAATGAGAGACAGAGAGCATGAGAGGGAGGAGGGTCAGAGGGAGAAGCAGACTCCCTGCCGAGCAGGGAGCCCGATGCGGGACTCGATCCTGGGACTCCAGGATCATGACCTGAGCCGAAGGCAGTCGCCCAACCAACTGAGCCACCCAGGCGCCCCGAGAGAGCTTTTCTATTCCTAGTTTTCTTAGAGTTTTTCAAATAATGCCTAAGTTTTAAGCTTTATCAAATACCCTTTTTCATGTTTCAAGATAATCATTGTGATTTTTCCTGTATTTGACCATGGGTGTGGTCATCCCACAGTCAGAGCATCTGATGTTAGACCACCATTGTTTTTCTGATAACTTTTTTTTTTAAAGATTTTATTTATTTATTTGAGAGAGAGAGAGCACATGAGAGGGGGGAGGGTCAGAGGGAGAAGCAGACTCCCTGCCAGGGAGGGAGCCCGATGCGGGACTCGATCCCGGGACTCCAGGATCATGACCTGAGCCGAAGGCAGTCGCTTAACCAGCTGAGCCACCCAGGCGCCCTGAGAGCATCTGTTTTAAACATGAAGGTAACAGTGAGTGGTCTTTCCTTTGTATATGTTTGGAATCACAGTTTCACCATTAAAACAAGTGCAAAATACTTTTTGTGCCTTGTGTATGCAATTAAGAAAGTATTCAAGGAAATCTGAAAATCAATTTAATTACAGACATTTATATAAAAATTTTGAAACAAATAAATGTATAAGGAAGGATATTGTTAGAAATTCTCTGTCCAAAGAACTTTTTTTTAGTAGGTCAAAATACATTAAGAATGTTTACAGGAGCAAACCCACACAAAGACAGCAGGCTGAGGAAGTGGACAGGGCAAACTTTCAGTAGAATGTTTGGACTGAAAAGAAAAAGTAGAACATTTTCTAGAACAGGAAGGAGAGGAAGTAAGGAAACTAGGGAAAAACCCAGTATATATTATAGACCACAGATAAGCCAATGGGAATGAAAATTGAATTTAGGGAAAGTGAATAAGACAATGGGTATTCATACCAGGGTAAAGGTTAGGTGGCTGGAAAAGAGAAATGCACTGAAGCCTTAAACTGCAGTAAGAACTGTCAGCCAGTGGCTGGAAGAGCTGTCTGCCCCAGACCAGGAGAGACGTCCCCAAACTCCTGGAGATAACTAATGTTATAAAGCCCTGGAAAACTATGTTGGGTCAGGTTGAACGTATACCTTTCTTCAGCTGTAATATAGGTCAAAAGCATTTCTACCCTAGGATTTTGTCTCACTAAAGAACAATTACACACTTAAAAGTGACGATATATAGTGGTAGTTCTCAACCCTGGGCAAGTATCAGAATTGTTTGTTGACTATATATATATACAGTTGACTATGTATATTTATATTTATATATATAGTATACCCAGTCCTCAGCTCTGATACTTTGATCGAGTTAATCTGCTGCAGAGGGTGGTTGTAGGCATCTCATGTTTTAATAAAACCTTTGATTAACTTCATGGTGTTATTCGTTCAAATGTGTGATGTGACTTATTAGCCACAACTTGTTTGTAGGGTTTTTAGGTGAAGGGCTTTCCTCACATGTTGAATGAACAGGGTTCTCTGAAGCCAGGTTCTCTCTGAGGATGGGAGGGTGGGGTGAAAAGAAAGCCAGCGATACAGGTTCCACAGTGAGCCACGCCCCTCTCCCGAGCCTCATGACCAAGTAGGACCTGCACTCTTCCCGGAGTGGAAGGATCTATTTTTAATATACATCTATATGTGTATACGTTTTAAATATTTCTGTTCTGACATTCATGATTTTTGAGTCAACGTCATTGAGAAAAATTGATAAAAGAGGACATTAGGAGAAGGGAATAGGAAAAAGGACTGGGTGGCTCAGTCGTTAAGCGTCTGCCTTCGGCTCAGGTCATGATCCCAGGGTCCTGGGATCGAGTCCCACATCGGGCTCCCTGCTCGGCCGGAAGCCTGCTTCTCGCTCTCCCACTCCCCCTGCTCGTGTTCCTGCTCTCGCTATCTCTCTCTCTCTGTCAAATAAATAAATAAATAAAATCTTTAAAATAAAGAAAAAAGAAAAAAGGACTAAGATGTCAAAATAAAAGTGAAGTTTTATTAATGATCGAATGGGCAAAATAAAATTGGGGGGAAGCTGGCCTAGATCTCTTCTTGAAATGCAGAGGGCACCTGCTGGGATGTGCATAAAGGGGGGCTCACACCATGGATTTTTGCATGAAATTACCATATTATATACATGCTATTTTTATTTATTTCCATGATTTAAAAAGCATGTTGAGATTTCAGTTTTACTTATAACCTCAAACTCTACACTTTTTCTCTGTAGTGTTTGACATTTCTTCCTAGCTAAGTCCCCCTTATAAAGTATGTGTTTGTGGTGGGGGTGAGGGGAGTAAAAGTCAGGAACCTAAAACCCCTCAATTTGGGGCAGAAGAATGTAACTACTTAATAATTCCAGAAGTGTTACAAATCATACGCCATTCAGAGCTTTTCTACCCTCTCCTGGAACTCTTCTCTTTTCACCTGAGAAAGTATGAGGTTTTATATATATATGTGTGTGATCGCTCTCAGGACATAGTCTTTTTTTAAGTATCCACAACAGGCATTTATTTATTAAATAAATAAGGAAGGATATTGTTAGAAATTCTCTGTCCAAAGAACTTTTTGGAGAGAGGGGGTGCCAGTAAGTCTGATCACGGAAATTTTCAAAAGCTGCAGCAGGAGGCTAAGGAGAAATTTTTTATTTGAGAAGGCCCTCTCCCAACCACATTCAGATCCAATTCTGCTCTATTCTGCTTTGTATTTTTTTTTTCCCTTAATGGGATTAGCCTTGTTTAAAACACCAATAATCTCATCAAAAGCCCTCCAGGGGAGGGCCCTGTAGGCTTTGTTATGACCTTAATCAAGTATTAGCCCTGCCCTACAATTAATCCCCCACTCACAAAACGTTTGTTCTTGTCTCTAATCCTGGAGAAGGTTGAAAAGGCATCAGTTAAGGAGGAAAGGGGAGTTTATTAGGAACTGCAGGCAGATCAGACAGGCCCAACAGGCTAGGAAGAGGGTCCAGGGGCAACTGATTGTCCAAGCTTAGCTTTAGGTTCCCTAACTCTCGCAGATTTTGTAGAAACAGGAATCACTCAACAAATGTTCGAAAGGGAACAAGAAGTTTTAATTTGCAATTGTTCGGTTTTTTTGTTTCCAAACATAGGGCCAGAGCTTTTAGATGGCCAGGCTTACACTTTGTCCAGCATAAAGAAGGCCTTCTAAATGCGTCAGTTTAATAGGAATACTAAAGAGGCCGGAGGGAAAGTCCCTTGACCTATAAATCCACCGTCCTTCACATTATTTCCTCTACATTCCCCTCAAGGAATCATTACATAATTTATTAGTTATTAAGTGGAAATAAAAAGAAACGTTGAGTGGTTCTCTTTGGTCAGCGGCTTTACCTGGTTAAAAAAAAAAAAACCACATTCCATTTGCAAACGGGCCCTGAAAAAACAGCTCAGGACAAAAGAGAAACAAGCTTTTCAATCGAGTGAGAGCCGTACCTCCCCCTCCAGCCCGCCCGATGAAGAGCGAGGTTTCACTGGCCAATCAAAACATCCAAATGTTAATGAGGCCTCCTTGCCCCACCCCCTTACCGACCTAATTTGGAAAGAACACCAGGGCACGGTGTTCTCAATCAGGTCCGCAGAAATGCTATTTAAAGGGCTGCGTGAAGACGGCCCAGTCACTTCCACTAGCACCACCACCATGTCTGGCCGCGGCAAGGGCGGGAAGGGCCTGGGCAAGGGCGGCGCCAAGCGCCACCGCAAGGTGCTGCGCGACAACATCCAGGGCATCACCAAGCCCGCCATCCGGCGGCTGGCCCGGCGCGGCGGCGTCAAGCGCATCTCCGGCCTCATCTACGAGGAGACCCGCGGGGTGCTCAAGGTGTTCCTGGAGAACGTGATCCGGGACGCCGTCACCTACACGGAGCACGCCAAGCGCAAGACGGTCACGGCCATGGACGTGGTCTACGCGCTCAAGCGCCAGGGCCGCACCCTCTACGGCTTCGGGGGCTGAGTGCAGCGGACCCCGCGTACATCCAAACACAAAGGCCCTTTTCAGGGCCGCCCACAAAATCGTTTAAAGGGCTGTGGTGCTTGGTAGAAGGAAAGTTGGGGTAGTGTGAGATGATGGTAGGGATCGTAGAACCCCGGAAGAGTCGGTTCAGAACCGTTTCTGCAGTGATGTAGTCTAGATGAGGGAACCTCTGTACCTGAATGTATGGATTTTTCTGTTTTTTTTTAAAACGGTAGAGTGGTGGCAATGAAATCCTGACAGAAATGCGTATTCTGAACGCCACCGAGAGCATCCCGACGAGGGTTCTTCGGGGGAAGCACGGCGCCGGAAGCGCCCACGACACTACGCTCTCGGGCCCCACCAGCGCGGCTATGCAAATGGCGGTCCTTCGGGGACAAGCTCTGATTGGATGATACTCGGTGTGGTCCCGGAAAAAATTGCGGAGGGCGGGGTTTCAGCACCATTTTCCTGTTGGCCAGGAGGTTTGATAGCTGTCCCCGGAACTGGCGGAAGAACCTTGGTGGGTTAACTTTGTTTTTAACCCGATGTCTGCCAGGCGCTAAAGAGGCACGAGGAACAAAGGCGCACGGGATCGCGGGGCCAGTTCTAGACGGATTGGAGCAGTGCCGGGGACTTGCCTGCTGCCGGGCGGGGGTCTGGGGTCGGTCCACTGCTGGGCGCGGCAGTCGGACGAGGGGCTCACGGCCTTCCCCGCAAGTTCCAACCTGAAAGGGAAGCTGGCCGCCATGTCCAAGCAAGACACGGGCTGTGGCTGACTATACAACTTTAAACTTTTATGTTTATTCGTTTTCCATTATATAAAAAAATTGTCAGAGGCCCAGTTACATAAGTGAGTTTAGAAAGGCTAGGCCCTAGTGAGTTATCTGTAATACAAGCTTGTACATGAAAGAATGCGTTACATAGATTTGCATTGGGCTTTGTTCAAGGTTGCCCCAAATACCAAGGCCCAAAATAAGATTAACTGTATGAATTTAATATTTATGATAATCTTTAAGAATGCTAAAATCCCAAATTAAGTGAAAGCTTTAAAACTAATTTTGCTTAAAATGAGAAAGATGCCTTTACTCAGACCCTGAGAATTTCCTAAGTCGTTTTTGTGATGTAGTTCAGTTTGGATCCTAAAAACTTTGTAGCCCCAATATCTCCATGAAGGTTTAGTATTTTTCAGCCCGTCGATCACAATCTGGACAAGCCTATCCACTCTCTTCATAAAATACATAGAATTACCATTGTATTAGACTACTTGTATTTTCAAACCAATTTTTTTAATGTGACAATACAGTATTTTGGAAATGAAGATAAACGGTATTTCAATATTCTTTCAACTGTAAGCTGAAGATACTTGATTTTTCTGTTTATTAAATGTTAAACTCAGGGCGCCTGGGTGGCTCAGTTGGTTAAGTATCTGACTCTTGCTTTTGGCTCAGGTCATGACTTGAGGGTCTTGGGATGGAGCCCCCAGCTCAGCTCCCTGCTCAGCAGGGAGCCTGTTTCTCCCTCTGCCCCTCCCCATGCTGGTGCTTGGTCTCTCAAATCTTTAAAAAACAAATGGAAAACTCCAAAGATTTAAAATTCCCCAATCCGAATTCTGTTACAATTCCTATATATCGACCCACAGAAAGCTGTACAGTGAGTTCTGAAACCCTAGTTACAGTGGCACCATGTAACAGGGTCAACTGGAATGTAAGCACTTGCAAAGTCATCTAGGATTGTGCGGAGCTTATCTCCACTCCTCCCTCAACCAACACGTAATCTTCCCAGACAAGTATGGCGGGTACACAAGGCCGTGTGCTCTACTGGAACTCTACCTTTTAGATGAGGCACCAGGATTTTCCAGTATTGAAACCTTAAGGTGTTGTAGATCGGCACCTTATCTGGCGAGACCCTCAGGATCTCTTGCAATAGAACTTACTTAATAGACCACTACTGTTTACCCGTTTATAAGCTTCTAGAAGTTTTCAGTGTCAAGCCATTTTTGAAGTACTTGGGGTGGCTCTTAAAAGAGCCTTTGGGTTGAGAATAGAGCTTCTTTCAGCTTACTTCTTGGACGCCGCTTTCCTTGGGTTCGTTTTCTGCTGGCTCAGCTTGGGCTTCCCTGCTCGGGCCTTCCCCGGGCTCTTCCGTGCTTGCTTGCCCTTGGCTCCCGTCGCCTTCCTGCCGCTCCTGGCCGCTTTCTGCGCTGCCGTCGCCCTGGCCTTCTTGGCTTTCTTGCTGGTCTTGGCACCTTTCGGGGACTTCGAGTCTCTGGATAAGACCAGCTTCTTCGCCTTAGCAGAAAACCGCCTCTTGAGCTTGCTCTTGGTGGGCTCAGGAAGGGCCTTCTTGTTGAGCTTGAAGGAGCCCGAGGCGCCGGTGCCCTTGGTCTGCACCAGGGTGCCCTTGCTCACCAGGCTCTTGAGGCCCAGCTTGATGCGGCTGTTGTTCTTCTCCACGTCGTAGCCGGCGGCCGCGAGCGCCTTCTTGAGCGCGGCCAGGGACATGCCTGCTCGCTCCTGGGACACGGAGAGAGCCTCCGTGATCAGCTTGGACACGGGCAGGCTCGGGGCCTTGCGACTAGCGCCTGGCCGGCCCACCGGCTTCTTCCCTCTCTTCTTAGCGGGAGAGTTCTCCATAGAGACCAGGGCCGTGTCAGCTGCGGCCGCCGGAGCCGTCTCCGACATCGCACGAAGACCAGCTGGGGGCGACCACCGAAAGGCGTCAAACGCCGCGGGGCCTCAAGGCCTTATATAGGGCAGGGCGCGCTGTGATTGGTGCATCCGCCGGGCGCCGCCCCGCCCCTCGGGGGAGGAGCATTTGTGTTTGTTTTACCCCCAAAAGTGGGATCCCACACAAATCCTCCGAGCGGAATCGCCCACGCTTCCCTGCTGGGTAATCCGTGGAGACTCGGATTTCACGTGCCGTTTAACCTTTTCATGAAAAATGACCCCAAATGCCAAAACTATAAGAGAAAGCTCTCGATTTTCAGCAAAACTCAAGGAGAAGAAGAAAACTTCCTCTTTTCCGTGTATATTTAAAAGTAATTTTGAGCGAGAGGCTTACCTCAGCTCTTCTGAGTGGTTTTCCAAACGGTTGGCTTCCAGTCGGTGGAGAAAATAAATTATTCACACTTTGACTTTTACTGAAAATTATTCATGTATGTGAAAGAAGTAACACATCTCTTAAATGTCTCACTGCGTGCTTAGGAGATGCTTATAGGATTGTCTAAAAACTGCAGAGGACGACTTTATTTGGGCAAACACAATCTAATGAACCGTAATCTCCAAGGCATGTGGGTTGTTTGTGACTTAAACCAGTCCTCAGTCCCTGTGGCTTGAATTAACTGGAAAACGGGAGGCAGGAAGAGCTCCGTGGGAACCAGAGCCCCAGATCTCCAGCGGGACTGGGCTGGCCCATGTGCCTGCAAAGCTGCGGGGAAGGAGTTATTGGAACAAGGTCTAGGATGGCTGCTTTTGGGGGCTTGTCCTCCGACTTGCCTTCGTAAGAGGTCCAGAAAGGAATTTGTTCATCAAGGCCAGACCTTCCAGAACAATGTTGAGAGAGCAGCGCGGTACGGCCAAAGCCCAGGCTTCAGCAGAGGAAAACCCCAAAACGACCATCGTGTGGAGATCACCCCCCGTCCCCCCCGCCAATGCCTGCACATAAGCTTGTTACTCTGCAGGCTGGGGAACGACCTGAAGTTTTTAAGGAGAGGATTTGTGTATTGTTCTTGTAGCTGTCTTGGTTTTAGATTTTTCACATAAAAAATAATTATTGGAAAGGGTCCAATGTCAGAAGTTGGTAGTCTGTTGCAATAGTCTCAGAAGAAAGGCAAGGGCTTCACCTTAGCAAACAGTGTGGGAAAGGAGAGAGTCTACATTTGAAATATTTCTGAAGCGGAAATGAAATGATGAGACTTTCCAATTTCTGGTTGCAAAGTGAGGTAGCAAATTCTCTGCCTCTCTGACTCATGGGCTCATGCTTACAAACACACCTGAAACAAAAATTCAGAAAACAATACTAACTTAAGTGCTTACATCCTGATACATTCTAGTCTATTTCATTTTTTTAATGCTGGTTGCAAACTATGGGATTGATTTCACAAAGCACTAATGCACTAATGTGACCCTCAGTTTGAAAAATCTTTCTAAGGGAGATTACAGGTGCATCTTACCGAGGACCCTATGTTTTAACATGTGTTTGGTTTTTCTGACCCTCTGTGACCCCTGAGTACTTGTGCTTACAGGTCAGGTTGTGAAGTGGATTGATCCTTACAACTATAGGTTGACAGAACGTATCATTCTATTGCTTTGAAAGTAACAAAGAATTGGAGAATTTAAACAGTTCTTACATTCCATAATTTAAGATCCAGGCAAAGCACCATGATTCATACTTTGCATTGGAAATCTAAAAGCTACCCCCCCGCCCCCCCCCCCACACACAAACAGTGCTTATTACTCTGTGTCAATCATCATCCCAAGGTTTTCCCCTTCAAAAAATGAAAAAGTATAGAAACTAATTTTGTCGTTAAGAAACTGAATCACAGGGCGCCTGGGTGGCTCAGTTGGTTGAGCGACTGCCTTCGGCTCAGGTCATGATCCCGGAGTCCCGGGATCGAGTCCCACATTGGGCTCCCCGCTGAGCGGGGAGCCCGCTTCTCCCTCTGACCCTACCCCCTCTCATGTGCTCTCTCTCTCATTCTCTCTCAAATAAATAAATAAAATCTTTAAAAAAAGGTATTAAAAGAAACTGAATCACAGAAAAGTCATAAAACTCACCCAAGGTCTTCGAGCTAGGAAGCAGGAGGTTGGCTTGAAAAGGCTCTAGCTAGTTATGGACATCACCTGTGTCAGGTCATTCTTTTCTTCCTCTTAATCTGTTAGAACTGATGTTCATGGAATTACATTTTTATAGCTGTGTGTGTGTGTGTGTGTGTGAAGCAATATTGTAATTTTATTTTGGCAAATTTTCTTTTTTTTTTAAAGATTTTATTTATTCATTTGAGACACAGAGATACAGATACAGAGAGAGAGCATAAGCAGGGAGAGAGGCAGAGGGAGAGGGAGAAGCAGGCTCCTCACCGAGCAGGGAGCCCGATGTGGGGCTCGATCCCAGGACTGTGGGATCATGACCTGAGCTGAAGGCAGATACTTAACCGACTGAGCCACTCAGGCGCCCCAGTTTGGGCAAATTTTCTATTGTGGGAAAGTCAACCTTCTGAACTTTCATTATTGAAATAATACTGCCATAAACATTTCCTTAAGATCAACTTTTGCTGGCCTCTCTAACTTCTGAATAGTAAAGCAAGGGAAGCAGTCGCAAAGAAAATAAAAGAACTGTTTTCTTTAAAAGATTATAATAAATTTATTCTCATGATATGGAAACTGTACAGCCCATTTTTAATATTAACATTCTAGTCTGTTGTTTTTTTATTTTTTAAGTTTATTTATTCATTTATTTTTTTAGTAATCTTTACACCCAACATGGGGCTCAAACTCATGACCCTGAGATCAAGAGTCTTATGCTCAGAGCTGAGATTTGAAGTGGGTGTTACGTTGGCCTCCAGAACCTCTATTCATCTTCATTGTTTTCCTCTGAGCAAACATTGGAGGTACTTAGTGTGGCTCTGTGACCTCAGGACACCTTATTTTTCTGGACATCTGTAATCTCTTTGGTCAAGGTGTTGCAGGATTTTTCTCCATCGGTGCCCACAGTTCTTGGTCACGCCGCTTGGAAGAATGAAGAGGTAGACCAGACAGAGTGATGGGCAGCAAAGCAAGGTTTATTGAATGATAGCAAAGTGATAGTACAAAGCTCCCAAGGAGGGAGGGGACCCGAAGGGGGTTCCCTCTGGTCTGTTGTTTTTTTAAAAAAAAAAATGTTTACTCTATATTTCTCCATATATGTGTGTGTGTGTGAGTAAAATAAAGGCGTCTACAGATTTTCACTATGTTCAGTGAGATTAGCAGACTTTCACTTACCAGAATGTCTACCCTACATGCTTCTTAGATTTTCCTAGTATCTAAGATTTAGACCTACCTTTTAAAACTGTCAACCTTTGGGGCGCCTGGGTGGCTCAGTCGGTTAAGCGTCTGCCTTCGGCTCAGGTCATGATCCCAGGGTCCTGGGAGCGAGCCCCGCGTCAGGCTCCCTGCTCAGTGGAGAGTCTGCTTCTCCCTCTCCCTCTCCCTCTGCCTGCCTCTCTGCCTACTTGTGCTCTCTATCTCTGTCAAATAAATAAATAAAAATCTTTAAAAAAATAAAACTGTTAACCTTTTTCATGTGTTTCTTCTTTTTTCAATAGCTATTTTTGAACTTCGTTTCAAAGATAGTTTCATCTATCTTTAACAAACATTATTTCACATTTAACTTTACCTCTTTTTCAACTGATCTCTTCATTTTTGAATCACTCTATTTTGATTGATTGCTTGTTCAGGTATTGAGTAATTATTTTGTTTTCTTTGTAGAAAGGGCATGCGTACAATTCCATGGTTTGTAAAAGTTGTCTCTAAAATCATCAAGTATTAAATATCAAGAGCAGGTATGATGTTGTTCCAGGGCTGAGGGACATAAAAACAACAGTTTTTAAATTAAGAAATAAGTATGAGTTGGTCTCCAAACTAAAGAAATGACTGTTTTCTGTATTTGGGAGATAAGATTTAAATATATGCAATGACAACAATTATTTGGTGCCAAAATCAATGCCCAAAACAATAATCTGCTCAGGGTTTCAAGATGGAGAAATCTCTGTTTAAAGAGGGTAGCAGGGAAGATGTCCTCAATTGAGTCAGATGGACCTGAATGACTTGTTCAGCCTGTTTCTGCTCCTCCTTATGAAACAGCACACCTTCCGAAGGAGTTCTAGAAACTTCTCAGAGGACAGAGGAAAGAAACCCACCACCGTCTAATTAGAAAGCACTGAAGTGCCTGCTTGGAAGAAAAGCTATTTGCATAACTGGAAACCCGCTGGAGGAGCCATTCAGGTAATCTTATTTCTGTTCTTCCTGACATTCCCACCTCTCTTATTAGCTATTTGTATGTAAACAAAGACACTACTCATATCATGCCGTTTCTTAATTTGTGATTCACACGTAGGACGCTAACAACAAAGACTATCCAAAACTTTTCCATGAACAGCTCATTGCTAGATGACTGAAATGATTTTCTCAAGCTCCATGGATGCTAATGAGCCAGTCTCTGAAAATAAGGAGACACAAGCATTAGAACTTGGGGGGAGTTATCTGTTGCACTTTAATGCAGAATGTGGAATCATCAGAAGAAAAGCAGGATGTCTTTTTTTTTCATTTCCCAATAATAATCCGGTTGACTCAGATGGCACATGCCTCTCTACCCTTGATCTTACCCCTTCTTCCAGTGTGGAGCATAGATTCGCCTTCCAGAGGAGCTAAAGAGGACCATGAGGTTGAAAACTACATGGAGGATGAAAATGGCACGATTGAGAGTACAGGATGCTAGAAGAAACCTCTACATTTGGGCACCATTGGCAGCTCCCCATGGCCCCTGAAAGACCAGCCGAGCTCTCCTGCTAACGAGGAAAAACAAATCTCTTTCTAGCTAACCGACTATATATGGATTTTTGTGAAATGCAGCCCAGTGCATTCGTAACTGATTCAGTGGATAATACCTTTCCATGAGCATGCCAACTTCATGGACCTGGAATTTTTTGTCTGCCGTACACAGTACTGAATCCTTCCACAACAGTGCCTGGTGTGTGGGAGGGATTCATCTGGGCAGACCCATTGAATGGATGGATGGACATATAGTCAATCTAATTTCCATCTTTATCTCCTATGTTTCCTTTATTTTTTTTTTAAATAAACATTTTAGGGGAACCTGGGTGGCTCAGTCAGTTAAGCGCCTGAATTTTGGTTTTGGCTCTGGTGGTGATCTCAGGGTCATGAGATTGAGCCCCAAATGGGGTTCCACGTTCAGTGCAGAGTCTGCTTGAGACCCTCCCTCCATCTCCCTCTCAAATAAATAAATAAATCTTTAAAAATATTTTTAAAAATAAATAAACATTTTACAGTATATCTTTCCGGTTTATTCACCTGTCTGAGGCACTACTTTAGGACTAATTTGAGAGCCTGCTTCACCACACATACAAACCCCAGTGCTGTAAGGATATCATTAGGCTTTATATCATTTTCCACTGGGTTGGCAAAATGGTTTTGCACACAACTT